CTTGATTATCCAAACCACAGGGACAACACGTACTGCATCTACAAAACCCAACGACAGATGCCTCAGTTAAGGCGACGCTCTTATTTTCTATTATTTTACCATTTCTGCTTTCGAAAAGGAAAACATGCACATTCATCTATTATGATTTCTATATACTGGAACACTTACATCAAACACACTACCGCGTTGTTGGAAAGTGCTTGCATACAGATGTTACCTTTCAAAATCGGTACTACCCGCTCCAGTGCGACGATATTCTCAGGCAGTTCGACGTTATCGGTGTGTCACAGGAAATGGTTAAACAGAGGAGGAGCCGAGATGAGTTTTTCTAGAGAGAGAATTGATTAGAGCCCCCCCTGTTTAACGGAGGCACGACTGGAGATAGCCCCGCTCTTAAACACCGCGCCTGAGGCAGCGAGCGACAGGGCAGCGGAGCGCAGACCCGGCTAGAGGCATCTGGCAGACGATCAGCTGATTTGTCACGGTCCCAGCATCAACCTGCTAAAACACCGGGAGGAAATAATGAGGATCTGCAGTCTATCTTACTGTAAATATAAACCCAACCGATCGCTTTTCTCTGCTTGATGTGAGCGACTGCTCCAAGCTAAGAGACACTGCTGTATCCTGGAGCTGACAATTATTAGCAGCGTGCATGCACAGACGTTGCAATTAATGCAAACAGAACTAAATGGAAGGAGAGCTGTTAAGCTGTTATCATCGGTGTTTGTTGCTTGCTTTGAACGATAGCTTGCTGGTTTGTTGTTTTTATCTCTGACGCCCATCGGCGCTCCTGGGAGAGGCAGGTGAGGGGCGGTTGCTGGGAATGCTTGGGGTGCAGACACGGGGTACATTTGTGGACTGTATTATGGAAACAGAATACAGTGAGGAGTCGCCTTCTAGTTCTGGGAAGCGCCGACGCGCGAGATATGTGAGCACACACAGAAGCATTTTCACAGAAGGAAAAGGCACATCCACCCTGCTCGTAGCGCCCGGCCAGTCTGCTCTCGTCTTGTGCATTCCAACTTGTTCGTGATACGTGAGAAATCTTGTATGTGGACACGGTTTTTTTTTTAATTATTTGATCATTTCCGTACTAATTCGCGACTTTCTGCTGTAGGACGCTAAAGCAGTAAAACAAATAACGTTATACACAGCTCTCAGCCTAGAGTTCACAGAAATGAACGGAGGGGTTGCTTTATAGACATTCCTTAAGAACTGCAGGGTGAAGGAAATGCCCAGCTCAGCGAGCGACTTCATGGCATCCGTTTAGAGCTCGACTAAAAGGGTTCTATTGATTCTTGGCTTGACATAATAGTAACTACGCGAAAGCCAGGGAGCACCCTCAATTACAACGGCGCGTCACAGCCTGCGGGGTTATAAAATTGGCTCGTCAGCCACACGCCGGCCAGGAGCGCAAATGCGCAGCAAGAGAGAGGTTCTCCGGTAGGCGCGCTGGTTGGCTGCCGGCGAAGTGGCGACTCACCGGCGGCTAAAAAGGTACCGTTTGAGGCGTTTTACCTCTCGGCGTGTCACCGGTATGTTATTTTTAAAAGCAGAGCCAGGGCTGTACCTGTGTGTGTGAGAGAAAGGAGTAGGTGCGTGAAGGCTATACCGATTCTGTGCAAGGCAGCCCCAGCTTGCCCTCTTGACGGTAAATACGTGTGCGTGAAACGTATACAAGCGGGGGGGGATGAAGATAATATCGCGGAGTATCACAGCAGAACTGGAAATCAGTGCGTCTTTTCTCGAGTGGAGCTGTGACACCTTATGTTTTAGAACTGTGAGGAATTCCTTCAGCAGTTAGTTTTCAGTTACATTTCCCTGTACTCATTAACACCGATTAAACACAGTGTTCATGGTGAGTGGTTATTTTTCTCCGGAGCACATCACGCTACTGGCGGGGGATAATCACTTCGGCGTTCTTCTAGTTCATGGTAACGCGCCGCTGTGATTTGTGTTTGCACTTACAGTATTCATCTGAGGAAACCAGACCAGTGAAACAGTCAATTAGGCTCGCAAGAATACCGTTTTACTCCGGAACTATACATACCGTACCCCTGTTGAGGGCGTGGACTTCGATGGTGTTTACTTGTGATAAACCCCCATTTTGCATTTGGAGAGGCAGCAACCTGCTTACAGTTTTGGGGGACCTCTGTCCAGGACTGGAGGGCTTGTTGATTTGTAGCTCCACACAGCTAGTTCGCTTCTCCCTGTAAGAGATACTGTTGTAAGTCTGAACGACATAAATGCCTTTATGTCTCTTCTAAACTGGCGATGCTGGCTTTGAGTCTGGGTAGAATAAACAGGTCTGCAAAGGGTTGATCATGTGTTTCTGGCCCAGATGGAAAACATTTGGAATTTGATGTGGCCTTGTGGTAGGACCTAATTCTGTGGTTTCAGTTTTTGCCTAGCCTTCCAGTACAGACAGCCTCTTTCTGGCTGCTGGAGAGCAAGCCTGTGTTTAGATTTTTCGTCGCATTCCCAGGAAGGGTTGGGCTCCAGCATCTCGAACGTGGCCCTGGACAGGGGAGAGCTCACCCAGTCCGTGAAGCGTGTGCCACTGGAGATCCTGAAGTTCCTCCTGGGAAGCATGCTTGGATACAAGGAGTATAAAGGATGTTTTCAATATTCCCAACCCCATTCCCATTATTACAGCACATGCCAATCAGAATTCCAGAAGCCCAGGGTGCAAGGCAGTTCTACGCCCTGGATGGAATGCCAGTCTCTTGCAGGGCAGACTCACAAAGGGCAATTTATAGAGGCCACGGGCAACCTTGCCAGCACGTCATTGCGAGGGGCACCTGGAAAAAAGGCCCACGAACGCAGAGAGGTACATGCAAACTTCCGCACAGAAGGTGCCCCAGTCCACAGCTGAACCCAGGGCCCGAGAGTTGTGGGGCAGCAGTGCTGCCAGTGCTACAACAACTCCCATTTTACTGTTACTGAGGAGTGTTGAATTCAGATCCTAGCAGATTTTAATGACTAAGCTTTTATCACATCAGAATGATTGGGATTCCAAGCACATGCTGTCTCGAGCTTCCATACAGTATAGTTCTGACCTCGTCCCCGGAGGTGTTGTACAATGTGATGGGGCTGGTGTTTTACACTTATATAAAGCCAAGCTTGGGTTCTTTATTGGGGGGACAGGGTGCATAACCTTCCAATTCATTCCAATAAACTTTCTCAAGACCTGAAGACCTTCCTCTGTCCTCCAAACCAGTGTCTCCTGGGTTCTGTTCCAGCTGAACTCTGGGGCTCTTAATTGAGCCCTTAATTGAGGTGGTGATGAGCATAGCTCGAGCCTTTTGTAATTGTTAAACTGTTGGAGATGGAACTGGAATTCTTCTTAAAGTTTTTACAGCTATCTAGTAAAAGATCGGAAAAGAAAGGTAAACCCCTAATTGAGCAAGATATGAACTCCAGTGCCTCTAAGTAGGGATTCACTGTAGCCGAAATGCAGGCAGTAGACAGTGGTGGGGAGGGGGTGCTGTCACGTCAGCCTGTCACGTTAACCAAAGGCAGTTTCAACATGTCCAGCTGTCTGTGAGCCAGGCCTCAGAGAAAGAAATTATTAAGGTCAGGGGAAAAAACAAAAATAGGAATTTTCATAGTGCAGAAAGGGAAATTTATCGAGACTTGGTTCTCAGAACTGAGCAGAGTGTACTGTGATCTAGTTGGGAAAACCTGAAACAGATCCCTAGAGTTATGTACAGTATGTGAATCCAAATATCACATGTGAACTATGAGGCACTGTATTCTCTAGACACAGGCCTGATGGCTCCGTCAGAAAAATGGGTGTTTTACTGGTGTGAAGCCTATTGACTACAGACTGAGCAAAAAACTACCTGGCTTTATTCCTCTTCAGGGAGTTTCTAGGTGAGGTGACAGAGCAGACGTGAGCCGGTTTATTTCTGAGGCTGAAACCTCAGGGTCTTGGTAAAAGTTCTTTATTCTTCTCGGCTAGATTTGAGTCGGAAAGGTCATGGAGATAAGCATCATGGTCCGCACTGGACTCGAGAGAGAGAGAGAACTGCAGCAGCATAACCACAAAGTAATTGGCGAAGACAGAAGAGTCACAGTCGAGTTCCCACTAGTGGACATCCTTCAACAGCATAAGATGTGGTTTATTATTGGCTTGGCTTCAAGGAAACTGGAGAAGCACCTTTGGAAAGAAATCTGTCTTATTCTGGAATCGGGTATAGTCCTGTTAAGAGTGTGGACATTTGTGTTGCTGCTGATGGCAAACGCTGTGGTGAGATAGCTTTTGTGTTTGGTTAGAGAGCAATGCCTGTGAGTTTAGTTGGGACCAGAATGCCTTTCCTGAACTGCGGAATTGCTGCCTAATCCTACTGTCATAGGATTGGGGTATTTCAGCCTGGAGAAGGGAGTTTCCTCAACTGCAGGGACTTGGCTTTGCTGAACAGTGTTTATTCCAGCTCTCAGTAGCTGGGGCTGCAGTGTCAAAGTTCTTTTTATAATTTTGTGTTTGTTTCTGGGGCTTTGAAATACTGTGCATTTTGGGGGTATCACTTGAGCACTGTAAAGTGTGTGGAAGGGCCCTAACGCAGCTTCAAGGGCCGCAGCTACATCCCCAGAAACAGTTAACATGAAATGGCACAATCAGGACTCTCCTTTGTTTCCCTCTTTCAGTGAGTTGTTTTATGGAGTCAGCGGTTTCGAAGAGCACCTCCGTAAATTCGATGACTCTGCAAGCTGTCCTTGTAAAGTCAGTTTGTGTCTCCTAGGGCCACCGGTTCCACACCATTGCTTTTAATTGTTTCTCTGTGGAAGCATCTTTGTGGAAGGGCATCTGAAGCAAGCTCCGGACAGAGTCTTGACCTCTGCCAGTGACGTTTCATGGGTTAGCTTGGCAGCAGTTCCGAAGAACCTAAAGAACTGTCCTAACTGAGTGTTCAGCAGGCTTTTACTGTAGATACTGTACTGTATGTGCAGTGCAGAATACAGGTGGCTGCCGTGTAGTTGCAGGGTTCTCAGACGTGTGCACTTAAAATACTGACTCTCAAAAAAAGATCTGATTGGTTAAATCAACCCCCGTGCAGTACATATCGGTAACACCATGTTGGCTCAAAGAACTCGGGAGTCTGTGCCCTGGTGTTTGTTAATACCAGCATGGCCTGTTAGTCTCTATCTGGAACAGACCTCGTGTTCTGTTGTCTCTACACACCTGTATTTTACAACTTTATAACTCACTTGTAACGCCACGTGGAGAATATACCACAGTCACTTCCGGCTGCTGCGCTACATGTAATAAGGAGCTTCTACGTTTGAATGAGTTCAAAGAGTAAGCAGACAGATTGCCAAAATTAAAAGGCCGTTTCATACACTGTGTTCCTGACTTTCCCTGTGGGCAAACCGTTGGCAATTCATTTACCCTGGATTGGGCACCATGCCCACAGTTTTCCACTGGGGAAATAAGGACGGCAGGAGCAGAGAAACGAGACATTTGATTTAGAGATTGAAGAGGTGAAAGGAGCTGCTAAACTGAGCCACTGCTTCACGCTCGGTAAGGACAAGAATTTTGTGACCTATGCTGTTTGACCGAAACTGATTCTGTCCAATTTGCCTTCTCTTGAGCTGCTATAACTGCAAGGAGAAATATGCTGCTTCTCCAAGTTCTCCCACTCAGCTGTTCTCCGGTTTCAGCCCTGTGTCGCTGCCTGCTGAGGCTCCCCCATCGATGGGAGACCCCATTGAGTTCTGCTACCTACTGCGCTCGTCAAAACTGTAAAATGTTTATTTCCTCTTCGGTGTTCAGGCATTTTACTGAAAACGTCATTGGTCTATCCAACTAAAATGTTCAAGAATGCAAAAGAAAATTGGCAAAAAAAAATCCCTAGCAGAACCAGCAGTTTGAATGATTTTTGGTGGTCACACTTGTATAAATCTACTTAGCAGTAAGAAATGGGGAATTAGCCCATAATGAGATGGGAAGTGGATCAGAAGACTGTGTACATGTGGTATTTCCATGTGATGTTTAGCCCTGTGCACCTGTGTGCTAAATGGTTTTACCTGAAAAATTGTCATCTGTGGTCTGTCCAATTAATTCCATACTGTGGGGTTAACCAGGTGGAGTTAAATAGAAAAAAATGCTTTCAGTTTTACTGACGTTTCTGGAATGTGTCCCTAAAGGCTATCGTTTGGGGAAAATGTTTATTTCTTAGCCATCGTTCGAGACCCAGTCTTGGCCAGTGAAACGCTGAGACAAGTGTACAGGCGAATGCATGCTGTTCCTGCATGTGTTTGCGGTTGCTATGTCTTTCAGTGGATAAATAAATAAGAAATAGAGACAAGTCAAATCTCTGCATTTATTTAAAAATCCTTGTTTGTCTTGAGGCAAGACAAGTGTGGGCGGCGGTTGTCTGGCACTCGGTGCCACTTGCCTCAGTCCTACCAGAAGGACTAACACAGCTACCAGTCTGCACATGGAGCCCAGTTCACAGGCTGTGCCACAGTCTTCACTCCGCCGTCTGCACAGCAGCATTCACCCTTAGTGTCACTTTTACACGTTTATTTCTCCGATCAACGGCAGTGAATTCGCATTAGATTGCATTAGCCTCTTGTGTTAATGCGATTCATCCGGTATACATATCAATAGGGCTGTTTACATTACTGGTCCTAAACGTGTTCGCTGTTATAATCCGTACTGATCCATTTACTTTGTGAGGCTCTTGTGATGCTCTTTCGGTGTGTGCGAGCCTCATACCCATGTCATTACATTTCTCTTTATTTTCCTGCATCTGCATCCTTGGTTCTTGTTATACACTTTCTGTATAGTAAGTCTCTCCAGGAGTCTGCTAAGCAAATAATAGTAATGTTGTAACGAATAATCATTTATTTATTGCTTCTTATTATTTCATAATGTTGATGATGGTGGCACATTGAGCTGCTCTAGGGGGAAACCAAATGAAACCACTGAATTGCTGAGCAGAGTTAATCTGTGATCTTGTACTGTATTTCAGTTGGCAAAAGAATCCGCTGCCCACAGAAATATGGTCTAGATGTGGTCTGGTGATAGAAACAGGATTTGTCTACAGGAATTACTTACATGGACACTTGAGAAATATTTCAACTCGAGTGTATGCCTGAGTGTAGACCTTATGCAATCTTTTCTCTATCAAGGCAAAAAGGCATTTCTCCTGGTGCGTGGAGCATAGTGTTCCTTTCAACCAGAAATGGATCTGGTCACTTCTGTACTGTTTCTGGAGCAGCAGGATCTCTTTTGTAGCTTGGGAGCCAAAACTAAATTCAGATATTCTTAGTATTCTTGTTTCTTAGAATGCATGAACTATGTAAAATCGTTTTAGAGACGCAGATTTGGGACTGTTGCTAATCAGGGTCTGCAAAACCATGCCATGGTGATATGCATGTGCTTTTATGTCAAAGCTGCTCATTTTAATATGGAAAGTCTTTTTCACTCAAACCATGAGGTAACTAACTCAGACAATACATTTGCATGCAAATACTGTACTTAGCTGCCTCCTTCTATTTTTATAGCTTTCTGAAATGTCAGACGCCTCGCCAAGGTCAGGAATCACCCTGCTGCTGTGTGTTGTTTCTCCACTGTGCACGCAGGGTGTTATTTGTTCATTCTTTTTGCGTGAAATTGAATTAAACGGTCGTGCACACCCCCTGGGGTAACAAGTGTGGCTGAACAGCTGAGGCAGGGCTGGGACATCCCAGTGAAGTTCTTGGAAGTGCTGCATGCTCGCAAAAAACTCACATGTCCCTTCGTCTTCTGTTGCAGCTCAGGAAGAGTCCTCCATTGCTTCCGGAGACCAGGAAGAAGATGTGGGAGCTTCTAGCCAGCACTGAGGGCCAGAATCAGTTTGGGTTGACCCTGCGGCAGGGTCTCCCCCTGGCTGGCTGCTGAGCGCTGTTTCCACTCGGCAGACTAGAGCGCTGGCTTCTCCGCTGTCACTGCGACACCAGCTGCGCCCAGTAAGGACTGATCTGGCCAGGCCTGCCCTGTCAGTCGGAGTACCTTCTGGGGTGTCTGGGGTCAATCGGAATGGGATTTTAGAAGGGCAAGGAGGAGAAATACGGAAGGCAACCTTTCTCTCTGGCTCAGGATAAAACTGAAGAAAGAGCTGCTCTTCGCGACAAACCCGGTAACGCTCATTCATGCGGGACTGAAGCCCTAGAGGAGCGCGGAGCTTGCCGTCTTGTGTCCGAGCGTGGATGTGGGTCCCGTGCCCCCGCGCGGGTGTGGTCTGCTCAGCATGGTGATGTCCCAGGGCACCTACACCTTCCTGACCTGCTTCGCCGGCTTCTGGCTGGTGTGGGCGCTGATCGTCATGCTGTGCTGCTTCTGCAGCTTCGTGCAGCGGCGGCTGAAGCGGCACCGGGAGGAGCGCCTGCGGGAGCGCGGCCTGCGCGGCCTGGAGATGGACCCGCT